AGAGAATCCATGTGCTTAAAAACAGGAAGAGGAGCAGGGCGAGCTCAGGACTCACAGTCTACGCAGGAGGATGAATAATGGTGCAGACTCCGTGGAGATTAGGGGAGAAAAGAGGAGGAGTGGGCCAAGTATATAGTTTTTGGACCCGATGAGTACAAAGCACTCAGGCCTGGCTGTCTAGGAGGAAACTAAACACAGAAATATGCTACCTTCCAGAAAGATCCACTGGCTAGGAACTGGAAAGAAAGGAATGTTCTGTTGTCTAGCCTGTATACAGGAATAGCAGAGAAGGACTGACAGGATGGCTCAGTGGTTAAGAGTACTTGCTTTTGCAGAGAACCCAGCTTTGTTTCTCAGTACCCATGGCAGGTGGCTCACAACTTCATGTAATTCCAGTTCCAAGGGATCCAAAGCCTTCTTCTGACCTCTGAAGGCACTGCCTGAATGTGGTGTGTATACAGACCAACACACACACACACAAAGAGTAGAGAAGGGTTAATCCTACATGGAATTTGGAGATAAAGAATTATTTGCATGTGGGTTCATATGTGCCCGTGTGAATACCCGCATGTGTATATTTACCATATACACATGTAAGCACTCACACAGGCCAGCAGTCACCTCCAAGTATCTTCCTCAACCACTTCTACTTTATTTTTGAGACAGAGTCTCTCACTGAACCTGATACTTGCCGTTTCAGCTCTGAGTCCCCAGAACCACCTCTGTCTGCCCCTCTTCCCAGAGCTCCCTCACACCAGGCTTTTACACGGGTGCTGGGTTGGAATTCAGGTCTCCATGCTGGCTCAACGAGCTGTTTCCCCACTGAGCCATCCCCCCCACCAGCCTGAATTATTTTTCTGAGACATAATCTCACACTGCAGCTCAGGATGGCCTTGACCTCAAAGCAATCCTCCTGCCTTAGCTTCCCCAGTGCCAGGTATACAGGTGTGAACCACCACACTCACACTGCAGATTTTCGTCTAAGGAGTATTCCCCGAGATTCTTGCCAAGGCCAACCGAAAGTACCATTGGCAGGAGCGTCGTTTCCGGCTGCAGACGGCAAGTGGATTCTGTGCAGCCTCTGGTCAGTCTGATGTCCAGTTCTTTCTGCTGCTAACGTGCCCTGAATGTTTCCAGCTTCCTTGTCACTGAGTTTAGGCAGAGAGAACAGCTTGGGGGTGACTCGGAAAGGTTGCACATCCTAACGTACCTCAAAACTCAATGCTTTGCTACCAGGTTTTGAGTCCCCAAGCCTACAGACAACTGGGGTCTGTACAGGCGCTTGGAAAATGCCCCTGGCATGCAGCCAAGCCCAGTGCTTTAATAATGTTGACAAAAAGAACCAGGAAAAGAAACAGAGCTTAAAGAATGAAGCACCCTCGCCTCACCCCAGTTTTAAAGTGTAAAATGATTTGGTGTGCATGTATGTTTGAATGTTCATAGGTGTGCAGGTGCACATGCATACATGTGTGTGTGGGCCAGAGATCACCTTGCAGTGTCATTCCTCAGGAGCTGCCCACCTTGGTTTTTTTGAAATTGGTCTGGAAATCATCAAGTAGGCTGGCTGGCTGGCCTGGGATTCCAGGGGTTCTCCTGTCTCTTTCTCTGTACTGCTACCATGTCCAGGTTTTTGATGGGAGTTTTGGGGATCTCAGGTCCTGTAAGCTTTATCGACTGAGTTATCTCCTCGACCACACACATCTTTTTTTTTTTCTTTCTTTTGAGACTGATCATACTATGTAACCTTGGCTAGCCTAGAACCTTGTGTAGACCAGGCTGGTCTCGAACCCACAGAGACTTGCTTGCCTCTGCCTCCCCAGCAGATTATTAAATGCATGGGATTAAATGCATGCACCTTCATGCCCCACCATAAATATTTTTTTAGAAATGAAATAATTTACTAATTGGGGTTGTTTTTTGGTACAATAAAAATAATGCTTTATTGGGGTGACTTTACCATTCTAGGGGTTGGGGCCAGTTTTATAGCTTACAACGTAAAGCATCTCAAATGGCATCTCAAATGGTCCTGGTTGTGCATTAAATAGATCTTGAACACTTTAAATCTTATTTCTACACTGTTCCTTGGTTGTTGCAACTGTGAGGCCTCTATAAATAACTCTTGGGTCTCCTTATGGTAGTTAGGTTTTTTAATAATGCTGTTAAGGTGCTTGAGAGACCGACAATTTGAACACATATGTGTGTGGTATTAAACTGCAGGTTGGTCAGACTTACATACAGTTCATTAATGTCTGAAGACCTTTGTATTAGAAGAGCCACTTGGGGGAGATTTCCCTCTAGATTGGAAGCTGGAAAGCTGCTGGAATAATTATTTCAAAATGAATCACAATACACAGATTTCCAGTACATGTGTTAGCAATTGTTCACAGATCGGGCCGGCGGGCTGCTGATGAGGAAAGTGTTCGCTATGCCGAACAAGGATGACAGCCTGAGATTGATCCCTAGAATCCATTAAAGGCGGAAGGAAAGAAGTGAGCCACAAAGTTGTCCTCTATCCTCTGACCATACATGCACTGTGACACACACACACACACACACACACACACACACACACACACACACACACACACACACGATAATAAATGCATGCACTGAAATGTCTTTGTACCAACTTGCAGCACTAACAATAAAATCTCAATCATGGCAAAAAAAAAAAAAGCTGTAGCAAGGAGGGGGCACCCCACATGTGGCCAAGTATATATGCTTTCACCTACGATTATAGGTTAATGAACCAACTCTTGCCTAATCCCACCTCCCCTCTCACTGGAATTGTTAGTCTTTGTTTTATAAGGTTATTTCCCATTCATCTGAGACACCATTAGAGAGAATATGGCACTGAAATCATTCCCATCAGTAATGGAAATAGCTGAGATTAGCTCTGATATCCCTGCAGCTGTTAAGCAAATCAAAAAGGCATTAACCACGAGTTGAAATTTACTCCACCAGCTGAGGTAAAGACACACACTCCAGCCTGTTCAATGGACCCTTTAGTGCTTTGCTTGAGACTTGGTGAATGGCGTTTGTGGAGTCAGGACGGCCAAGTCTAGAACTGCGGCCCTGACCCTGCTCTTCAGGGAGAAATGAGCTGCAAGCCCCCTGCATCCCACTCCTGACTTCCGTGAGCGTGTTAAAGAGGAACATGGTCTGTAGACTTGGCAAAGTGGCCATTTTCATTTGAAAACTGAGGGTGTAGTGTGGTTGTTAGTGTCAAGGTCCTGGGTTCAACCCACGATACCAGAAGGAAAAATGGAAACAAATCCAGCCCTTCCTACCCCCGCAGTACTGCTGATTGTTTTAGAAAGAGTGATTCCAGTGTTTAGCAAGAATGATTGTTTTAGAAAGAGTGCTTCCAGGGTTTAGCAAGAATGGTCCTCACGCCTCCCCTGCTGGGTGCTCAGTGTTGCTGTGTCTGGGGTCTAGCTCCTGCCTTGGCTGCTTATTTGCATTTTGACTTTCCTCTGGCCTCCTATATCCATTTGCAAACAGATGTGATCAGTCCTGGGGTCTTCAGAAGACAGGACAGACGGTAAAAGCTCTTTATTGGGGCAGGTGAGATGGCGCAGCCTGTTAAAAGTACTTGTCAAGCTTAATGACTAAAGTTTGGTCCCCAGAAACTACATAAAGGTGGGAGAAGAGAATCAGTTCCAAAAAGTTGTCCTCTGACCTCCACATGGAAGCAGCGGCATGTGTGTGTCCACACATATACATCAAACACACACACACACACACACACCAGCAACAATAATAAAGTTTAAAAAAAAAGTGTCCCACGAGGCTGGGGAGAGGACTCAATAGGAAAGTGCTTGCTTTGCAAGCATGAAGATCTAAGTTTGCACTCCAGAACTCAGATTTTTAAAAATCCAGGCATGGTGTCACATTTTTGTAATTCAACACTGGAAGGCAGAGACAGGTGGCCCCCTGGGGCTTGCTGGCTAGTCAGCCCGGCCTACTTTGCGAATCCCAGCCCTCTGAGAGACTGTGTCTCAAGTAAGAGGTGAACAGTGCCCAAGGAATGGCACAGGAGGTTGTTTTCTGGTTTCTATATGCACACGCATGCATGTAAACACAAACACACACACACAATCACAGCACTACATCACAAATGCAATTCTTACATCAACTGCTAAGTAAAATGTGTTCAAACAGGTAAGTGGACATTGCAGTTTTCTTTTTGTGTATGTGTATGATGTGCGTATGCATATTTTCATGTGTCCGTAAGAGTGTGGAGGCCAGAGGTTGACACTGGGTATCATCCTTGATTGCTCTCACTGTGGCACCGTCTCTTGCGGATCTCAGAACTCACTAGTATTCAGCAAGTCCAACTAGCCAGCTTGCCCCGGGGACTTCCTGTCTCAGCCCCTTGAACACTGGTACTACAGGCAAGTGACATGCCTGACTCCACACACACACACACACACACACACACACACACACACACACACACACACACACTGGGGATTTGAACTCAGGTCTTCACACTTGAACTGCAAGCGCTGCATCCACTGAGCCATCTTCTCAGCCCTCTGACATCTTTTGATCCTTTCTTCTTCTCTGCTAGAAGGGCATTTCAATCAGCCCAATTTGAGATAAATCTATATATTTCAAGGGACTCCAGTGGCACTTAGGACAGAAGCAATGGCCACAGAGGCTTCTTAGGGAGCTTCAAGGGGCTCCAAAACAAATCCCAGGACTTGTGACACAATGCAAGATTCAGTTTACTTTGAGATGTACGACTCTCTCCCTCCATTCCACACATGTGCCCTCACACAAGCGTGCAAGCCTGTGACCAGTGCACACACTGATGGACCCAGAGCAGTCATACCTGAGTTTTCAGCCTCTTGGAATGCAATTGTACTATGGCCTTTACCCCTAACCACAGACCAAGAGATACGTGATCCCCTTTTCCTTTGAGTCTCTCCATCCTTCCAGACTTTTCTGATAAAGAACAAAGGAGCCAAAGTAGGAATTCCAGGAGTACCTACCTGACGCAGAAGTACAGAACCACAGGCCCAGACTTTTTGGGGAAGTCGTGTTCCAGTACTCTTCGATCTAGTTGAAGCCAGTTCAAGTGTCCCCTGGAGAAAGGAGAGGCATCTGGTTAGGTTGTTGGACTGTGCAGGTGTTTGGAGACGAGGTTCTCCCTGGAGCAGAACCCACTGGGTTGTAGGCATGCAGGGGATCTTGAATCCTTCCTGGTATTTCAGTAATGGAGGGACACTCAGGAATTATCCGGGGGAAAGAGTTCCCGAGAGAACTGTTGTATGGCGGGGACAGGACATGAATCATGAAGTCAAGATGAGATGTGGTGCCTGCTTCCTTTAACCACAGCTTGCTCTCTCTCAGCCTCAGTTTCCTTTCCACTCCTGCGGGGTATGTGCTTTCCCTATAGGACTCAGAACACACTTCAGTAACATGCTAACAATCCTCACATCAACCTACTGGAAGCGGTTGGGATGCCACATGAACCGCACTTAAACGCAAACCTACATACGATCAAGCCATTATTCTATTTCTAGGCATTCACAGTTCCTCCCCACGAAAGGAGGCATTTGTCTACACAAGGTCTCTTACACATGAGTTCACAGACACTGAATGTGAAAAGACACTAGAATGGCCCAAACTTAAAACAATCCCAAGGTTTACCAGCAGAAAAACTAGTGAATGATGGCAGAGTCCCCAAGTGGAATACTACACAGCAACAGAGAGAAAGTGCTATTGCTGTAATGCAGCTGAACAAAGGAAGTTTTAAATGAAAGACTTAAAAAAGCATATAAATGACGCAATCCCATTTATGTAAAACTCTAGAAAACACAAATCAATCTTCAGCTCCTGAAAACTGACTGGGGGTAAGGGATATTGCAGGAAATAGGTCCATGAGGAAATGTTTTAGAACTGATCGCTATGTTGTTGGCCAAATATTGGCTTGATTAGAAAAAAAAAAAATATGAGGGTCTCACCCAGGCTGGCCTTACACTCACTACATAATCCAGGATGACTGTGAATTCCTGATCCTCCTGCCTCGACCTCCCAAAAGGTGGGATTACAGGCATTTTCCACAATGCCCTGCTTTGGGTTGATATTTATCTAGCAATGAACTGACTGGAAACCAACGTATGGAAATGGCTAGAAGCAAAGAGAGCAGGGAGGTGGGAGCAGTCCTAAACTGAATTCTGCTTCCGAGGGAAAACGACATCTTCTGTCTACGTTAGTTACAGGAAGCCATTAGGCTAGGCTGGATGGAGAGCCAGCCTCAGGGTCCTGCTCTCTCTGCCTCCACTATGCTTGGACTATAAATGCATTTTACCATGTGCTGTCAAACTTCACAGACTGACCCATTCCTAGAGCCTGAAATGATTATAGACTTGGCTGGGCAGGGGCTGGGCAGGGGGTGGGGCTGGGCAGGGGGTGGGGCTGGGCAGGGGGTGGGGCTGGGCAGGGGGTGGGGCCGGGAGCTGTTCAAGTGGGAAGAATGTGGAGCCAGTTAATATCTTGGATTCCCTAAGTAAACAAATTCCCAAGGATGGTCCAGGAATATTGATTTTTCTAGAAATTTCCACAAGAGAGAGTCAAGCCGAGTGTGTACGGGGAAAACTACCTTACAAACCAAGGGCTGCCGATTCTGGTGGAATCTGGCTTTACTTTTTTATTAATATAAAACTGTTTGCTCCAATATGTTGTTGCAAGGCTGCTTCAAAATTTCGCTTTTTGCATATGTCTGCATGTGGGGTGTCTGTACGAGTATATGTATTAGAATGTGTAGGGGTACACACATGTGCGATGCAAATGCACGTTCATGTGTGTGTGTGTGTGTGTGTGTGTGTGTGTGTGTGTGTGTGTGTGTGTGTGTGTGTAGGCCGGAGGTTGATGTCCCATGTCTTCCTTGAACACTCCCCTCTTTTTATATTGCAACAGGGTCTCTCATGTGAACCAGTGCTCAGTAGTTTGCCTAGTTTATTAGCTTGCTTCAAGGATCCTGTCTCCACCTCTTGAGCCCTTGGATTATTGGAGGGCCTTGGTGACTGCCCAGCATTTACATGCGTTCTGGGGATCTGAACTCTGGCCTTGATGTTTGCATTCCCATGAGCCACCTCTCCAGCCTCTTGATTTGGTTTACAGCATCTCCTATATTGTGTGTTGTTAACTACCTTCTAAGTACACGTGAGGGACTGACAGGAGCTAAAGGCCAGTTATTTCTGCATCTCCCGTGGCTGACAGTAAATGCTAAAAGCAATTTTGTTTCTGTTAAGAAAACAAATGCAGGGCTGGAGAGATGGTTCAGAGGTTAAGAGCTCTGGCTGCTCTTTCAGAGGTCCTGAGTTCAATTCCTAGCACCCACATGGTGGCTCACAACCATCTGTAATGAGATCTGGCGCCCTCTTCTGGCATGCAGGCATACATGCAGACAGAACACAATATACATAATACATAAATAAATCTTAAAAAAAGAAAAATGCATCAATTTTACAACATGCTCCAAAGATCCATATTCTCTCTCTCTCTCTCTGTCTCTCTGTCTCTGTCTCTGTCTCTCTCTCTCTGTCTCTCTCTGTCTCTGTGTGTGTGTGTGTGTGTGTGTGTGTGTGTGTGTGTGTGTGTGTGTGTGTGTTTGTGTTCTCACATGTGTATGTGACCTCACACGTGTGTGGGTACATATTCATATGTGTGCATGTGCATGCCCAGTGTTGACGTTGGATGCCTTTCTTCAGGGCCTTCCACTTTGAGACAGGCTCTCTAGCTGCCCTCAGAGCTTGCTGATTCCAGCTAGTCTAGTTAGCCGCCTTGCCCCAAGGCTCCCCCGACTGTCTCCCAAGTGCTAGGCAGAAAGAAAGTCCCCTTGCTTGTCCAGTTTTGGGTTCTGAGGGATTTCAATTTTGGTCCTCATGCTGGTGGAACAAGCACTTTATCCAGCGAACCATCTCCCCAGCCCTGACATCCATTTTCTTATAGATTCAATGACTGTCACCAGGTCCAGCCAATGCTCCTGCCCCAGGTATGAGGAATTCATTCTGCTCGCCTAGAATAAGACCCAGGCTCTTCAGTATCATCTGCACTGGGGTCGGGGTGGGGGTGGGCAGGGATCACTGAAGTGCCTAACCCCTGCCGGAACGGCACCACTCTTTTTGATTGATCTTAGCTACACATATATAAAGTCACGCTCCAGTACTTGTCTGGTCCACTCGACATAAGGTGCTGTTGTTTGCTGTGATGTGTGACAGTGGTGTGCTCGTCTCAGAGACTGTCATGAGTACTGAATGTCAAGTTCCCGGAAGCAGCTAGGACAGCCCAGGCACGGCGGGCTGGGGCCACTGACTTTCACTGTCCTGCCGTCTAGGAGTTAATGAGTGGAAACCACAGGCCCACTGCTAAGTAAATGATGATCCCAGAGCTGCTGACTTTCGCTCCCAAGATAAGAAATCGCTTTTGAACTTTATTTTCAAATGGTAGATACACTAGTGACTTGTGCCGGACTCTGTGGATGCCTCAGCCAACGCCATGCGCTCTGCATAAGAAGGGACACAGAGCAATGTAGACTCGGGCACACTTTCGGACCCAGCATGCCTGGCGATGGGTCACAGGTGTGTTGCCAACAAGACACTCATTATTGAGCTAACTCTGACTCCTGGACCTGTACTGATCAAGCAACTCGATTAATTGTGACACAGGCATGAGGGCCAAGTTTGATCCATAGCACCCACATAAGAAAGCAGGTGTGATGGGGTGCTCTGGTAACCCCAGCTTTGGGGAGGAAGAGACAGCAGGGTCCCTGTGGACTGCTGGGTATCAATTCTTGCCTAATTGGTGAGCACTAGGCCAATGACACTTGCTTCAAAGCAGGTGGACAACGTTCCTGAGATCGCCTCTGGGCTTACACAGACCCACACATGCACACACACATATACCTGAACATACACACATGCACACACATAAAGAACTATGGTACAGGAAGCTGAAAGTAACGGTCCTTAATTGACTACCTTTTATGTTCTCAAACTAGGACTGTGGCCTCATGGTGCCCGTGACCCCTCTAAAACTTAAGCAAAATTGTATGCAAACATTTGTGGAAGGGAAGGAATGTCAGTGCTAACAAATTTCAAAGAGATCTGTGATGAAATAATAGGCCGAGAGCCGTTCATTTTCTTAACTGGCATGTGAAAGGACATTCTAACTGTGCTTGCGCAATAATGGCTAACATGTTTTTACCCTCAAATGTCTAAACACTTCTTAAAAGTTTTTCTTTTCTTTCTTTCTTTCTTTTTTTTTAAAGACATGGATATTCAATTATACCATCTGATGAGCCCTTCACAAGATTGGGGACAGGAGATAAACTTAATTGCAGTGACAATCATTACTTCAACTTGTAGTATGTTTGACTGCTTATTTTGTCTGAAGTTACTTAGTGTTTGGCTTTTGACAGGGGATCTTCATCTTCTCACAGTTATTAACTTAAAAAATATTAAAATTTGGGAATTAAAATAGTACTGCAATTATTTCAAAAATAAAATGTAAAAACAACTCTCTCTAAACGGATGCCGTGTTGGATAAATGAGAATCTTAGGCTGTTTGTCTGTTTAGTTTTTTTCTTTGTGGTGCTGTCTGAGCCGGTAGCCTTCAGCATGCTAGGAAAGTACTCAAGCTAAACCATTGACCTGCATGCCCTCATTCCTCAGTTTACAGTCTTTTCATAGGGAGATACTAAATCTGGACTCAGGAGCTGATTCTCACACTGTTAGGAATGGTGTCTGGAAGGTAGCCCTCTGCAGTGTCTTAGACCCCTGGGACATGCCAGACATTATCGGTCCCTGATAGATCAAATGGGATCGGTCATTCTGGAAATGAGTCAAGGGGGCAGGAAGAAATTGGTTCTGACATTCGAGGTCCTGGAACAGGACTTTTGAACTTAGCTGTATGTCAGAACAAACTGGGGATCTTTGAAGAAAAAACAAAACAAATGAAACAACTCAATGTAAAGTGTCCTGGGTCCTTCCGATATGTCACCAATGTGGAAGGGCACTCTGGCTCCAGCTGCCTGTCAATGAGCATTCTAAGGAGCTGGAGCGATGGTCAGGTGGTGAAGAGCACATACGTATTGTTCTTTCAGAGGCCCAGGTTTGGTTTTCAGCACCCATGTGGTGGTTCATAACTATCTATAACTCCAGCTTTTCTAGGGGATCTGATGCCCTCTTCTAACTTCTGTGGATACTGCATGCATGTGGCACACATATACAAATGTAGGCAAAAACTCATACACACAAAAATAAAAAAAATACATCTAAATTCTAAAACACTACGTAAAGATCAAATTTCTCCCAGGGCCTTTGCTTCAGAATGTGTCAAAGCTATCCAAACTGCCCTCACTTGCCTAGTTCATCACTACCGGGAACACTGAGAGGAATATCACCTGCAGCTCTCTTTATTTGGACAGAGTTAGTGCAAATCAAAAGTTACCAAGTGCAACTGAATTCTAGAGCAGGAAATAAAAATCATGGGCAACCTGGTGATATCTGAGGAGAGCCTAGGGCTTAGTTCATCTAGCAGTAGTGTTGTGTCATAGTTTTGCTATGTACCACACGGTTTGCAGGATGCTGACATGGGGGGAAGCTGGGTGGAAGGTGAAGGGAGTCTGTGTTGTCTTTGTAACTCTTCTTTAATATTTCCAAATAAAAAGCTTCAAAATAAAATAACAACAGAGAAGGAAGTACTTGTATCAATGCGGCAACCACTGGTTACCAATAACATTGTATATTCTCAGGCGTAAAGTATTACACTGTTGTCTCTGATACTTTATCAATAAATACCAATTATGGGGGGACAGAAGGCTAGGGAAACTTCCAATTCCCTGTCTGCATTATTTATTTATTTATTTTCCCCAGGGTTCCATCTAGGAACCTTTCCCCACAAAATGTCATCACCATAATTAAAACTGAAGGATGGCAGACAACTTCTACCTAAGAACCATACATATATTCTACCAAACACCCTGCTGCTCCTCCTGGGAAGGCCAGTGCTGCCCCTTGAACATGTGCCTGAGGGCGTGATCTGGTCTGGGTTGGTGATTCCTGTGTCCAGGCCCAAGTCCAAAGGGCAACCTTTGTTCTTCCCTTTCTTGAAAGGAAAAGAACAAATGTTCCGATTACCAAAGAGGCCCAGAGATGTATGTCGGCCCAGGTATTATCAGGCCATGAAGGACTGTTCCCTAAGTCACTCTTGTCCTTGTCTAGTTGGTCTGTTTCCTGTGCTAGCCTCTCAGAGGCTTGACTTTCTCTGGGGCTGACACCTGCTCTTTCTCTCCTAGTGCACCAGGCACAGCTGTTCTTATTTAGGAACCAGCAGGTGGCTCAGCTCTTTTCTTGTGGGTCCTGGCTGGTGACACCCTCCCACTCAGATCCAGGAGGAAGGGTGGTGCCAGAAGGGTAGCGTGAGACCTACTATGGGGAGGATGATGTTTCTCTCGAGTGCCCTCTACACACAGGCATACATGAACGAATGAACACACACCCAGGTAGGTTATCAGGCCAGCAGAGAATCAGGAGAGCTCAGCTCCCAACTACATAGGCCTATAGGATGGCCCATTAGACTCAGGGGTGTGCACCTCCCAGCTTTGATGTGTGGCTTTCATGTCCCTTTCCTGCCTTGGGGAAAGACTGGCTTTCGACCTTTTCATCCTTCCGATCCATTGCTCTTGGCTAGGGCTATCAGGGCTGTGGTCTGCAATCCTCAGCACATAGACTTTTTCCTCCCTGACCCAAGATAACATGCTCATTTTTCGACTCTTGTTGACTGACTCTGAAGGGAAGTCTAATTGGGACTGTCCAGAGTTCATGGACTCTTGGAATTGAGTAAACTTACTTGGGAAATGGGAACAATGAGGCTATGACTGATTGAGGCTTACGGCTTCCTTCCAATCAGTGGGAACAGCATGGAGAGTAATTAGGGGGTTCATGGGGATTCTTGACCGAGAGGGTCGAGAACGTCTGTGTTTGTGAAAGTCAGTTTGTCTAGATGTACAGTTGTTTGAAGAGGTTCTTCTTTACTCCCTGCCAGATGCTTTATTGGCTGCACCTCTCCTGACCTGCGGGTAGAGGTCCTTCTAGACTAGAGAAGGCCAGCCAGCCTGCCTTGCACCTCAGTGCCCTGTGGGCTGCATGTATGAGGAAGAGGATGCTTTGCACTTTCCACCGCTTCTGTACAGCCACTACCCCAAACATCACTTGTATGTGGGGTGCACGTGTGTGTGTGTGTGTGTGTGTGTGTACAGGTGTGCATGTGTGTGCACGTGTGAGATCAGAGGATAACCTTGGGTTTTGTTACTCAGTTGCTGCTCACTTTTTCCTCTCTTTTGGAAAGTTTTATTGATTTATTACTTTTATGTGCATACGTGTGTGGGTGTCTGTATAGGCCAGAACACTTGGAGCTGGAGTTACAGGTGGTTGTCAGCCACCCTCTGTGGGTGCTGGGAACCAAGCTTAGGTCCTCTGGAAGAACAGCAAGTACTCTTAACTGCCGAGCTATTTCTCCAGTCTCCCGCCATATTTCTTGAGACAGTGTCTCTCATTGCTGAGTAGGGTAAGTGGGCGGGCAGGACAGTGAGCCTAAGAGGTCAGTTTGTCTCTGGAGAGATGATATGAATATATAGTTTGTGCACTTGTATATACAGCTAACCTAACCAAATTATTACTTTATTTTATGATAGCCTAATAGAAGTCTTTGCCTAAAAATTATAGGATTGTGAAGAAAAATGAGTTAAAAATTTTATGTAAGTATGCCAGTTTCTGCCAACTTGTTTATATTCTTTATCCTGAGAAGGTAAGTACCTGCTGGAGTACCTTAAGTAGTAGCTGGCACAACTATCTGGTCAAAGGTTATACTGTAGATCCTGTCTGCTAAGAAAAGATTTTTGTTGTTAGTGTTTTTGTTTTTGAGACAGGGTCTCTCTAGGTAACACTGGCTGGCCTCAAACTCACAGAGATCTGCCTGCCTCTGTCTCCTGAGTGCTGGAATTAAAGGCATGTGCCACTATACCTAGCAAGAAAGGATACTTTTTATTGCCATTTCAAATGTTTGTATGCTTTTATTGCTAGCTGCAAAACATCTATCTGTAAAATGTTCATGTCCACAGTTTCTATTGCTGTGAGCATGTCTAACTGTGACAGAAACTCCTTTTGTCTGGTACGAGACTCAGAGACTATTCTCAGGTGGCCACACTCTTCCCTGACCTATAAAGGCTGTAAGAAATTGTAGAGGGATGCTAGGCCTTTCTAAAGCATTAGCCTGATTTCCTGCCTCCTCCTAAACAAAGAAGAGCTCACCTGTCTCTCTAAGTGCACAGCTGATTCTCTGCTGAGAATATCCATAACACGTCTCCACTTTCCCCATTACAAATGTGGTCCACCAAACCTGGCTTTGATTTTTTAACCTAAGTTCTGGGGATTAAAGTTAGGTCCTCATGCTTGTGTGTGGATACCTTGTCAACTCATAGATCCGCAAGGCCAACCACAGCCATATACAGACGCATATGGTCACTCTCCCACTGACCAACATAGAAGTTGCCTATTCTTGTTTCAGAAGCTATCCTACCTCAATGGTCCCACCTCACTCCTGGGGTCTGGGCTGGACTCTACTGTCCTACCCAACCACTGACCTCACCCTGACTTATGAGCATTTTAGGAAACCATGTCTATAATCCTAAAGGCGTGGAGGGGTGTGTGCACACAAATACACACACAGAGGAGACTTCTTAGGGAACATTGATTTAAAGTAGGTTATTTTGTTTTGTTTCCTGGTGCAGGGGATGGGGAAGCAGAGTTTGAGGAAACGTGGGCAGACAGGGAAGGTAAGGGCAGACTCTCTGAGACAGATATCTCTTGTTCCCAGAAAACACTGAGAGGAAAAACTGTGGGAAGACATGGGGGAGAGTATCTAGACAGGTCCAATAGAGGGAAAGGAGTGGGCCCAGGAGTCCTATAAATACCCAGGCTGGCATCTGTCTAATGCACTTCCAGCCTTGGGCTTCTCCCATCCTGAATGTATACAGCTGTTACTTTCCCTTTCTCTGTGGCTTCATCTTCTGTCTTTCCTGGTCCCGCTCATTTCAATTCTTTGTGCTGGGGAACTATTGGCATCCCTTAGACAATTACAGTCACCCCCTGTTAATATAGAACCAAGGGCTGCACACGTCTAGGAAAGCGTTTCACCACTCAATTACATCCCCAGTCTTTTGTTTACTCTTATCTAAGAATTTGGGCTGATCTTCACCAAACTCTTTTGGAAACAATATACTAAGAGAGAAAAAAAATATTTCAATGAACCTATCCTTTCCTTTATTATAAAACATGACCCAAACTGGAAGACTGCTGAAAGCAAACCCACGTTTCCATCAGATGGGTGATATGAACTTTGATTTTGTATTCTCGATTTCAGCTTAGAATGTGAAACTGACCAGCTATCATCTTACGCCCTGAATTTATCATCAACTCCACTTCCTGTTATTGTTTCGCCAATACTGGAGAGAAACATTTACTTTCCAGAAGTTTTCATTTAACCTTAATGAAAACCAAACCCACACAGATCTACTTAAAAATAAAATAAAATAAACATTTCGGTCTGAACACGAATCTGCTTGATTATAAGAACGTTGACCTAATAATTTCATAATATTAGCATCTGTCTAATTATATCCTTTGGCTGCTCCAGGCATGATCACCGGCTTTTGAAATTCAGATGGTGAACTTGGACTGACCCCCCAACCCCCCAAGGGACCCAAGTGGCCTGCAGCTGATTTTGCTGTGCACAGCTGAGAGAGGGCAATTTCCCATCCTGCTCTTTTGTTCGGGGTCTGTGGGCTCTGGACAGCACTTACGTCTCGTCTGTGAATGCTATCCCGAAGTATTCCTTTTCCTTCAGGTTGAAATGAGAAGCCACGAGGTCAAGAAGCTCCTTGGCCAAAAGCTTGGGCTGGAAGAAGAGCACAAAGGGAAAAGATTAAGTCATGATAGACCTCCACTAAAGCGCGCCACCATCTTGGGTTTCTAGCATGTTCTCTGTGTAATATCTGAAAACTCAGGCACACTACATAAACACAAGTGACTTTCGTAAAATCCAAAGAGGGGCTTGGATGCAGTTCAGTTGGTCGAGTTCTTGCCTGGCATGCACAAAGAAAGTCTCAAGTTTGATTCCTAGTGCAGGATAAAATTGATTGTGAGGGGCGTGCCTATAATGCCACAGGAAGTGGAGGCAGGAGGATCAGGAGTTCAAGATCATCTTCAGCTACATAGTAAGTTTGAGGCTAGCCTGGGCTACATGAGACACACATACACACACAGAGAGGAAGGGGGAGAGGGAGGGGGAGAGGGGGAAGAGAGAGAAGGAGGGAGGGAGGGAGAGAGGGAGGGAAGGAAGGAGGGAGAGAATAGAGAAAGACTGAGAAGAACACTAGGATACTGCTGTATAAAACAACCAAGTCAAAGGTCCCAGGTAACAGATGGAGGCTCTGTAAGGTTGGGTCTGTCAACAAATGCACTTTGGGTCTTTAGCGGGGCTGTCCAGCCTGGTGACTTTCCTTCCCCACCTTATGTTATACTGACAGGAAGATGTCTCTTTTTAATTGATCTATTTAGCAAACACAGGCAGACCCTCCTATTCTTAGGGTGAGGTTACCCATTGCAATCTGAAGATGCTGTTACATCCAAATGCATTTAAGACGAGTACCAGAGCTTAGCAACACAGGGCTACAGGTGTGAGCCCGAGACAAAATGGTAACATTAGCACCATGAGATTTACTTTATAATTAAGTTGCAAGTCTCTAAGCATGGGCTTGGTGGGTGACAACCCTGCCTTACTGTACTGAAAGGTTGGATACAACTGCCACAGGCCAGCTGCTTCGGTCTGGTGATCACATGGATAACTGGGGGGCTCTGGCTTTCAGCATCATTAGAGGGGATTGGAGCACATAGCCTGATCCAGGGGAAAGATCCAGGTGCAAAATTCAAAGTATAATTTTTACGGAATGCGTATCGCTTTTGTACCACTGTCAAACTCAACATCCCCACGCCGAACCATGGTGAGTTAGGAACTGTGTGCATTTGCTGTGTGGTAGGCACTGTCCTAAGCACTTTTTACACATTTTTTACCCGCATAATCCTATGAGGTTGTCTATCGTATGGGGCAGAAACAGGCCCAGAGATCAGGCAGCTGTTTCTGTCTCCTTCTGCCTCTATGACCATCAGCTCCGCAGTGAAAACCACCTAGATCCACATGGGTTTGTAGCGATGGTAGCACTTTCTTCCCTGGTAATCATTAGTGATCAATGGGAAATTCCACTTTGATGAACCAATGGCATCTAATGCTCTCTACTTCTATTCCTGTCACAGTATACAACCTTAGGCTAAACCAGGTGGAAATTCAGGACTTGAAGTCAAACATTCCTTCGTTAATAGGAAGAAGTCTACAATGGGAATGCAGAGGGATGCACACGGCAAGTCTTAGAATTTTGCAAATGAATAAGGAAAGATGCTGCAAGATTGAGTTCTGAAGCCTGAGCACATGCTGTGGGATGCTGCAGGCTCTGCTGCCCATGCTACTGTTCTTCCCAGAAGATGCTGGGCTGCATGTGATTTATGGGTTGTAATGAGGCAGCAGGCTCATTTAAAAATGTAGCGGATCATAATTTATCCATCAGAATGACTGCCATCTCTTTCAAAGTAGCCACAGTGTATCTGTGATGCTTGTTGTTTCTGGAAGTATTTTGAGCTGGGCACTGTAGTACATACCTGTAACTCCAACACTTAGAAAGCTAAGGTAGGAGGAATGGGGATTCAAGGCTAGCCTGTGCTACATAACAAGACCATATCTTAATGCCATTTTTTTTCTCAATTTTGGATTATCTTTTTGACTTGCCCTGGAAGCATGTTTTAGACTTAACACCCTAGCCAGCAAGAACTCTTCCAGCGCTTGGAATGGATTTGGATCTTTTGTAAATGTCAGAAATCACTTGAGGTCAAGTCTAGTGGGTGGGGGTAGAAAGTCACTTGAGGTCAAGTCTGGTGAGTGGAGAGAGACAATGAGAGTGTGGTCTTACTGGGTCAATCTGGTATTAGAAAATGAGGTGTGACTAAGAAGTAGTTACTGTGGACTCCTGTGAACTATGGGGAGGTAACTAACCCATTCTTGGAAAGGACAGCACTGAGATTTGTGGTGATATTTTATTTGTGCTGAAATGTGGTGATATTTTATTTGTATGTTAATAAATAAAGTTTGCCTGGAGATCAGAGGACATAGCCAGCCATAAACAAAAGTCAGGTGGTGGTAGTACACGCCCTTAATCCAATCACATGGCAGGCAGAGTCTCTGTGTGTTCAAGGACACAGCCAAGGATGGTGACAGTACCAATCCCAGTACCAACCATAGAGACCTAGAGGTCTGTACAGACAGGCGGTTACAAGGTGGCTGGGCTAAGAGCCAATGAGAAGGCAGAACAGCAAGGCAATAAAGGCGCAGGTTAGACAGGAAGAACCTGGTTCTCTTGGGAAGCTACTGCAGCATGGTGAGCTTAGGTTAGCTGATGGCTACTCCTATTTCTCTGATCTCTAAGGCTTTCACCCTTGTATTTGACTCTGTGTTTCTTATTTAATTAGACTGTTTAGAAATTCGTCTACAGAGACTTCTCTCTCTTTGGGAATACTATTTTAATGATATTTGAACACCCTTGCTCAGTGTGGCAATTGGGGAGAAATGTCCCCCAAAGACAGATGTATTTGAACACTTGGTCCTCAGTTGGCAGCGCTGTTGGGGAAGAGGCTATGAAACTTTTAGAAAGTGGTGTCTTGCTGGAGGCACAGTCGTTGGAGGTAAGCTTTAAGGTGTTGTAACCACTTCCTGCTCTTTCTTTGCTTCCTGTGTGTGTATACAATGTGATGTCTCTGCTTCGTGACTGCCAGGCCAGCCTCAGGCTCCCACTGCCATACATTCCCCGCCATGATGGACTGACTGTACCGCCTGGAACCGGAAGCCCAAATAAACTCTTTCTTCTCCAAATTGTTTTTGTTTGTTTGTTTGTTTGTTTTGTCAGAGTATCTTATTACAGCAATGGAAAAGGAACAAATATAGTTGGAGATACATTTATTTATCTAGAAAGATACTCACTAGTTACAGAAATGGTTGGGAGAAAATCCAAGGTGGGGTGTAGGAAGGGAGCTGAGGAAAGTGTGGAGGGCAGGGAACATGGTTAACAGGTGTTGGATATTTGTGTTCTTCACCCAGTTAAGACCTTTGAAATGACAGAAAGGGACACATGGAACAACTTCAGTTGACCGTGCCACATTCCCATACATCTGCCTTAAAATGCCATGTCTTACAAAGGACTATCTAAGGCATTGCTACTCTATCCCAGACACTGTTCTGAGAGCTTCTATATATGATAAAATTATTTAAACGACAGAAAACTATTCTTCTGCCAGTGAAGACTTAGAGTCAGTAGACAGGCTGTTCTCACCCTCAGCAAAGCCAGAATTGGAAACAAGGTCTGGACACACAAAATGGAATATTACTCAGCTCTAAAGAGGAACAAAATTCAGATCTATGCTATATGAATGAACACTGATGACATGGTAACTGAAAGGAGCCATAAAAAAAGAAATGCTTTTGTCATCTCACTTGTATAAGTAACTAAGATCATGTGATTTCACAGGGGTCACCAGGGGTTGGAGAGGATGAGGAGTTACTGCTTAATGGTTACAGAATTTCTGCTTCCAATTCTGACAAAATTTTGGAAATAGTGTTGAACCTTCAATAACACTGTGCATGCAGTTAATGCCCCTGAATTGTACATATACGAAATGGTTAAAATGGTAAATTTTATGTAGTGCATATTTATTCCAGTTTTAAAAAGAAGAAACAAAATATAAATGCTAGCTTGTCTCAAAGTGGTCACCTTCCTCTGCATTATGCCTGAGGTTACTTCTCCCTGGGTAAGCGGTCAGGCACCATGTCTTGAAGGGCCTGTCTAGGGCTGTAATGCTGAGTCAGTACGCTGACATCCCAGATTTATACATCATCACTGTGTACTTATTAACGCGCACCATCCTCTGATCTTCAAGCCCCAGAACTTTAGAGACGTCCTGACACACTGAAAAAGCGTTGCTCTTTGAGAGCCTTGGAGGGGCTGACTTTTGGCCCCTTGAAGATGACACGTTCCTCTGATTTCACCTGTCTCGCCAGACCCTTCGCATATTGGAAATTTTACTCTGAATAACTAAACAGCGCAAGCAGCCCCAGCTTGGGGCATAGGGATGGGGACAAACCTGACCCTCTCTGGTGAACTCTGTTCATACCTGTGGGGGCAAATCATTGCTGAAACATGGAGAAACATCAACTGCTTTTCATGAACAGTATGATAGACCAAAGGGAAGAAAAGCTCACCTCAGGGCACCCATAATTTAAAAACAAAGGAACCAGAGCTGGGGGGGACAAAGTGCCTGTAATGAACTTGTCTCACACGCCATGAGGCTCTGAGTTCAATCTCTAGAAGACAAGTTAAGAAGTGTGTGGGAGGGCTGGAGAGATGGCTCAGAGGTTAAGAGCACTGACTGCTCTTCCAGAGGTCCTGAGTTCAATTCCCAGCAACCACATGGTGGTTTGCAACCATCTGTAATGGGATCTGGTGCCCTTTCTGACCTGTAGACATACATGTAGGTAGAACACTGTATACATAATAAATAAATCTTTAAAAAAAAAAGTGTGGGGGAGAGTAACCAGAATGCATTATATACATGTATGAAACTGTCAGGTAACTAACTTAATAATAATAATAAAAAAAGAGTCACACTAACCAATGGGAGTTCAGCAAGGAAAACAGACCCTGACACCCTGAGATGTCCACTGTATGTAATGAACTAATTTCTCTCCTGTTAAAATAGAAAACAGTAGCCATGAGAGAATGGAGGGGAAAAGTATGGTTG